ATTGCCTGGCACCAAGGGGAGTCTCAAATTAAATGGTTCAAAAGCATTTTTTTTCTGCTTTACAATTTGGCCATCTTTCCCCTCATGCAGTAAAACCTCCAATAGTTTGGAATTTATGAGGCTTTGGACAGGGACTGGGCTCCAGTCGGCTTCTGGAGTATTCTGCATGAAAGGGATTTTCGAAGAAAATTAATAGCTTGCCAAACAAATAGGAAAGGGAGTGCACACTATTTAAGGGGGTGGGGGGGATGCCATTCTAGCCCTTAACAAACACCCATCTGCAAACAGTTCATATGCTGACTTCCAATGATTTTCACATGTTCATTCTGTCCCCAGCTACGGCTGTTTATCAACATGATTATAATGGTTTGGGCTGGCTTCAAAGGCTAGGCTTTGCTGATCAGGAACTTCTTAGGTACAAACTTTTTGAGGCTGAGCAATTAACAAAGGAATTAAGGGAATGTCTAACAATGTTACTCATCTTTGGGTGGGTGAGTAGGGAGAGCTCCAAGTCTCCCTGTCTGTTGTTGATCTTATTGACTTCTGGGTGGTTCTTGTCAGGTACTATAGGGTGAGGGTTGACCTCACTGAACCTTGTCCTGTTAGACAAGGTTTACATCTGTTAGAATTTCCATTCTAAATAGCTACTCACTTCCCCCTCTGTCCCTTTTCTCTCTCTCTTATCCCTCCCTCTCCTTCCTTCTCTCCTTCCTTCCTTCCTTCCTTCCTTCCTTCCTTCCTTCCTTCCTTTCATTCTTTCTTTCTTTTCCCTCTATACAGCTCCAATTGTCAACTTGATACAACCCAGAGTCACCTGGGAAGAGAGAACCTCAATTTCAGAATTGCCTCCACCAGATTGACCTGTAGGGAAGTCTGGGGAAGCATTTTCTTGATTAATGATTGATGAGGAAGAGCCCAGTCTATTATGGGTGGTGTCATTTCTGAGCATATGGCCTGGGTTGTATAAGAAAGCAGACTGAGGAAGCCAGTAATCAGCACCCCTCTGTGGCCTCTGCATCAGCTCCTGCCTCCAGGTTCCTGCCTTCAGTTCCAGCCCTGACCTCCTTCAGTGATGCAGCATGACTTGAAGGTATAAAAGGCCACACACCCTTTCTCCCAATGTTCCCTATGGTCAGTGTTTTATAGCAGCAGCAGAGAAGCACACTAGAACACCCTTTTTCTTTTTTTCCTTCTTGGTTTCTCTCTCATTTTTCCTTCCTTCCATCCTTCCTTCCTTCCTTCCTTCCTTCCTTCCTTCCTTCCTTCCTTCCTTCCTTCCTTCCTCCTCACCCTCTCTTTCTCAGGGTCTTACCTTGCAATCTAGGCTGATGGTGACCTCACAATCACCCTGCTTCAGTGATCTGAGTGCTGGGACTACAGTTGTGCACCTCACTAAGCCAGGGTTCCTTATTTTGCTCTTAAGGAATTCCCGATGTGAACTATAAATTATATAATTACTATAAAATTGATAAAACTCATGAGATTATGGCATTAAAAAGAAGTTTAAGACTGTGGATTTCTGATGTCCCCTATATAACCCACAGGCTATTCTGTAAGGAGTTCATGGGTCAATTCAGAATGCAGACACTTATTCTCTGTGCCCCATCCCCAACTCAATAACCAGAAAGGGGAAGAGTTAGCCTTCTGTGCAGGTTAACCTCAGCTGTTAAGTAGATGAGAACTACCACTGTGGTGACGCCATTCCCTGGGCTGGGACTGTAGGAGGAAATGGCTGTTCCGGAATGTTATCACTCCTTTTCTGGCTATGGATTCAATGTGATCAGTTACCTGAAGCTCCTACCTGAGTGACCCCACCGCCATCTTGTTGTTCCATACCCTTGAACTATGAGCTGAAATGAACTTTCCCCTAAGTTGCCTTTTCAGGGTACTTTTATATCACGGTAACTGGAAGAGAACTAAGCGGCCTGCATGGAGGGAGAAAGAACTACGGAGTATTCCCCGCTTGATCTCACATGTATACATTTCACCCCAGTGTCGCTGCCCGCGTGGAGCTGAGCTTTCATAGTGTCAACTGTTAGCCTTATTTGAGGAAGAAACGAAACAGAGCTGGAGACTTTTTGTTTCCTTTTAACTGCTATGAGCTTCCTCACAGGACCAAGGTGTATGAAGCAAACACTACACGCCACACGCACTGCAGAGCTTCTTCACCTGCCTCGGTCCTCACGGCCAAGGTGGTCACAGGCACAGATCATATTTTCAAACTGACAAACGTGTTTGGTGAGGTCAACGCTCTGGTTCAGGGGACTGCACCCCGGGCTGTCTGGTGCTCACCCACACCAGCACCTAAGCCACCGCTACATGGCGCCTCGCTGTGCTCTGTCATTCTGACATCTGATTCAGACATCTGCCCGAAATCTGATACACAGCAAAACTCTTGCCTCATCAAGAATGCCTCATGGGGCAATGGGGTGGGGTGGAGTGGGGGAGAGGGGAGGGGAGGAGCCAAGGGGGATTCTGCTCAGGAAGCAGCTGTCTGATGTGTGTATGGTGCTGGGAAACCAACAACTTAAAATCCGTACCTCAGTTCCCATGCTAAATTATCTTCAGCCATAGACTTACCGTATCCAAGGAGGGACTCTCGCCTACAATCAGATATTATGTGTGTGGACCAACAGGATTGGCTGGTGGCTTACCTGCCCGCCCCCACCTGCCCACAGACTTGTGCCGATCTGACTGAGCTGGGCTTCACTCAAACAACTAAACATTTCTCATGAGCACAAGTACATAGCTTGCCTCAGAAAGAGTCTCCGGGGCTCCGCTGGAGGCATGTAGCATCTTTCTCCTTTCTCCTCTCTAGGGCTTTGACTTTGGAGCCATGACATTTCCACCCTCCGGTAGTACAGAACCGTGGAAGGGAACTGGAAACTGACCATTGCCGCATGTATCAGATGTGGGCAAGAATGGGGATGATTCTGACATTCAGTTAGTCTGCTGAAACACAATTAAGCCCAGCCTTTTCTGAGGACTTGGAAATAAATGCTCGGAAATCTCTACTCTGGCTGAGATAAAGCATCTACAAATCAGAATGTGCTCTACAGAGAGGAACTCCCAGTCACAAAAGTATTCTTGCATAATATCAACCAAGAGCTTATAGAACTCTGACATAAACTTCAAGGGTGCTTTCCAGGGAGGACTAGAAACCCAGGAAGGACATTAAGATGCACTAAGAGTGAGAAAATACCGAGGGCCCATGAAACTCTTGTGAAAGTCACACACAGATTAGATTCAAATGAACAAAAGCTGTGAGGCTAGCGCATCTCTCAGTCAATTTATACGATCGAAGCTATTGTATGTTGACAGTTTCAGACAGACAGTCAGACAGACAAATGGACAGAAAGGCAGACAGGCAGAACCATGAAGCTTCTTTGCATGGTAATATTAGGGACACTTTTCTAAATTAAAATAACACCAAGAACCTGCTCTCCTGCCCGTGTGACCATAAAATAGAAGACTGTGGACCGAACACTTCTGCTGCCAGACAAATTTTCCCTGGCTCCTCCAGCAAGGCCATTTTCTCCGGCCAGTGCAGCACTGATGTGCCAACAGTAGAAACAGGAAGGTGAAGCCGGTGGCAGAAGACCAGGGAGATAAAAGCGCTGACGTCAAACTCTCTCCAAAGAACCTCTGAGCGAGCGGACAAGTGCCAGCTTTAATGACATCTGATGTCATCCCCCCTTCCTGCAGCCCAAATCAGTGGGCTTCCCCCTCTATTGCGCCTAAGTTGTCCTCTGCTTACAGGCTCTACATTCTGCCGGTTCTTCCTGATTCCTGTCCACCCATTTCCTACACAGGATTCTCCACTTGTCGAACGACCTGTTTGAGCCTCAGTCAGAACAAAGAAAAGTTGCTGGGTGTGGGTTTGCTCTTTTCAGAGCTATTTCTCCAATCAGCTTTCGTTGACCCCACACTTGCTGGGAAGTTCTGAGTCAGTTGTTGCTACACCAGGCATTCTGTCAGGGTCTCTTTCCCAGACATGTTTTCAATCTACTCCCTAACGCAGCCTGCCAGGATCAATCAATCCTGCGAGAGGTCTCCCCAGATCTTTTTCCCTTTAACTCTCAGAACCACGCAGCCACGGGCAGCAAGAGATGAGTTTTCATACAGCCTTGATTTTTCCTGACGGAGGGCACAGCCCTTCTCAAACTCCTCTAAATCTGACGATCTAGGAAAATGCTGTTTTTCTCTGCCGTGGAAGGCATCTGTGTCCCTCAGCCCTGTCTTCTCTTCACCCCTGCCTCCTGCTCTCATTTTTTGTCTGCCTCCTTATTTCTTTCCTTACTCTCCCCTCTTGTCATTTTTTTTTTACCACCACCCCAGGGTCCACACTCATTCCAAAGTTCAAAGCCACCCAATCCTTAAAAAAATAAAACAAAATAAAACTTTCAATATTATCTTCATGCTGACTTTGAGCTTCCAGCCTTGGTTTTGGATGCCGGAGAGAAAGAATTCAACCCCAGAAGCCTCGGCCAAGGCGTGGAGGAGGGTGCTGTTTGGAGTGTATTTGGAGGAACAGCATATGGGCTTTTGTCAAAACGTTCAGAGCCCACTAGTTTCTGAGCTGAGGGTTAGAATGTACTCCCTGAACACCGGCTGAGCCAAGTTCATATTTTGTACAGCATGCCCCCACCACCTCACATCCACTACTGCCTTGCCCCCCTGACCTATAGGCTTGGGGATAGCTAAAAAAGTTTTCGGTCAAGTACATACCGGAGCCATACCGCCCACCCTAAGAAAGCAAAGGGGTTTGCATGGGAGTCTGTGAGAGTGTTGTTCCCGGCCAAAGAATTCCCGTCCCTTTCAAACAGCCTCTTCCTTACACAAGCGATTATGTCCCATGTTCCAGCGTGAGATACCGGGAATAACGGGCATAGTCCAGGCACGCTGGCCCAGCCGCCTGGGTCCGCCTGTCAAGACCCTGGGACTCAGGCAAGAAAAGGGGGAACCTTCCAGTGTCCCCAACTCAGGAACGAGGTCATTACCTTGGCAGCGGTTTGCGGGCTGTGATACTGGCGACGATGATGCTCTCGGGACGCGGAGTGGCCACCGCTTTGAAGGTCCCTTTCCAGAACTTCTCAAACAGCTGTTTCTCGCCCTGCTGCAGGCTTGCCATCCTGAAACACCGGGGCGCTGTCCGAAGTGCTGAAATGTGGATTCCAAACCCGATGACACGCCCTCGGCTCCGGGGCGCTGTCCGTGTGAAACCCCCAAGGGGTGGGGTAGGGGAGAGAACGGAGTTCTGGGCGAGGGGGATGGGATAGACGGGACGTCTCAGGCTAGGCAGGCATCGGAGAAGGAAGGTGGTTCCCCGGCTGGGTTCACCTCCTGGCTTGGCTCTGAGCTGCTCTGGGAACCGACTGAGCTCCGCGTCCTCCGCAAAGCAAAGCTGGCCGGCTTTCTCCACCGCGCAGAGAACGAAGAGGAGGCGACCGGGGCGTCTGCCGTGCGTGCGCGTGTGAGCTCCGGCGCGCCCGGGTTTTGTCTCTTGCACAATGTGACGTTGGAAGGGGAGGCTGGTCGCGCGAGCTGCACTTTCCTCCCTCCCCTTCTCCGTCTCCTCCTTCCCCAGCAACCCCTCCTTCTCTGGCTCAGCCTCCCGCCGCCATCTGCATAACAAAAGCCCGCAGGTCTAGGGAGGATAAAGGGCGGGGCGTGCGCTTGTCTCCAAGGCCCCGTGGCCACTGAGTTGCGGCTCTGACCTCTCTGAGAAGTGACCCCGGCACCTCAAACAGAACCAAGCAGGGGCCCCTCCGTCTCAGCCCTCACCCCTCCTCTGTTGTCGCAGGCCTTCCCCTCAACCCTTCTATGCGCACTCCCGGGGCTGGGCCACCTCCCTATCCCTTTGCGAGACTTAGAGCGCGTCTTCCATTGAGGATGCTACGAAAAGCCGCCCCACCTATCCGCCCAGGCCGGCCTGCCCTCACCCTCCCCACTTCTGGGAGGGACTGCCCAGGTCTGCATGGTGGAGGTACCCCTGTGTTCCTCTTCACGCCTTGGGGCCGCGGGCTCCCCCACCCCCCATCCAGAAAATGCCGTTTGACGGACAATCCGTCACCAGCGCGCTTTCTCGCCATCTGTCGAGCCGGCCCCCACCCGCAGAGGGGCGCAGCGTCACATCTGTGCTCGCGGCGCTCTAAAGGATATCTCTTTTGTGCCTCGCAGCCGGCCCGCTTCTCGTCCCCACTGCCAAAGCCCTCCAAAAGCAGCGCGCCCCTCCCCCACCTCTCCTCCCCTCCCCACCCCCTGAGAACCCGCAGGAAGTGTGTGTGTGTGTGTGTGTGTGTGTGTGTAACAACGGTCCGATCTGACAAAGAAAGCGCCGGGAGTGGGAGGGTGAGGTGGGGGCGGGGAGGTAGTCCGAGAAATACAAGTAACTTTTTGGTCTTTCCCTCTTCTTCCTCCCCACCCGTCTCGTCAGTCCCAGGAGAGGCTCAGAATCTCCAACTCCAGCCGCGCAGGACGGAGACAGCAAACTCTCCTGTTTCACCGTAGGGAAGATGTCCTACTGGGATCCCCAAGCCCGTTTCTCTCTCGGAACCCTTTAATACTTGGTACAGTGAACACTTACACTGAAAACTCCTAGGAGCCTTCAAGAAGCCTTACGGACCTAAAGGCACGGACACCAGGTCCCACCCCGAAGGAGGAAAAAATATCTTGTAATTCTTGACCTAGTAGCAGTGGGGAGCGACGACCCCCAACGTCAGCGCGGACTGTGTAAATTCTTTACAAGAGAATAGGAGGTACCCAGAGGGGCAAAGTGGGGAGAGGAGAAGAAGATGGGGCGAGAGAAGCCGGAACACAAGAATAAAGGAGTGAGCGCTGGCCCTGAAGAGGCCTACAGTTTTTGTTTGGTGGATGGCTGTGTACCCTTTTAGGAGAGCCCAGAGCGATGCTCGCTCCGCAGTGACCCCTTCTGGTCAATAACTAGAAGTGCATCTGTTGGCTTTTAAAGTAGGTAGCAGGAGAGTGGAGTTGAGACGGGGCTGGAGCTGGGTGACCTGAAGATAGACGAATGTCAGGGAGCGGACTGATCCCCTCCATTCAAATTCTCCATTCTTGGATTGCTTTTAGGGCTTTTGACCCTCCCTTGGGTTACTGTCACCTTAAATGTCGTTGAGCTGTCTTCCTTCTTAGCTTTGGATATTTAGAGAGATCCTAATCTTAACATTTGGGTATGAACCGAGTCACTTCCCGGAAATGGGTAGGTGGGACCTTACCTCCACCAATCAACCAACACCTTGAAGAGGCGTGCCTGACCTTTAGTAAAAAAGCTTTATTTTTAGTGTGTGCAAAATGTCATGTGTGTGGGTGCCAAACTTAACCAGGATTAGAGTTAAAGGTGATTGTGAGCCACCCAGTGTGGGTTCTGGGTTTTGAACTCAGGTCCTCAGGAAAAGCAGCAAGTGCTCTTAACCACCGAGCCACCTCTCCGCTCAACTGCATGTCCTCCTCTTACCTGGTGTTATGGCAAAGCTCTCAGTTGGGCATCCTTGCCTCTTTGGAAGCCCAGAACAGCCAAGTGAGGCGAGAGAGGAAGTCTTTTTTGCTTGTGTATGGATGAGGAAGCAGAAGTTCAGGATGGCGGAATGGTGTGCCCATGTGACTTCAATGAGATAGTGGAACTCTGGGTATGGGAGAGAATTCTGGCGATCGCAGGCATACCAGACTGCAACTACGCAAAGCCTACCAGACACCAGTGAGCCGATGCTTAGAAGCACACAGTGCTGCGGGTTCTAATGAACACCTCCTCCAACATCTCCTCTAACACGCGCAGGGCTTAGAACCCATACTTCCAGCCTCAGCCCCGCCTTTTCTAGATGGATAATCTTGAAGGAATGATCTCAGTTGCTGTGTCAGTTGTTTTGTTACTGTGAAACTCCTAACAAGAAGCAAGCTAAATGAAGAAAGGCTTTACCTGGCTCACAGTTTGAGTCCATGATGGTGTGGAAAAGCATGGCGTTGTGTGAGGCAGCTGGTCCTGTTACATATGTCAGAGTCAGAGTCGGGAGAGGAGGGAGTGGATGATGCTGTTCTTTTTTAATTTTTTTTATCCTTTTTTACAAAGCCTGTGACTGCAGGTGCATGGGACAATTCCATTTGAACTCAAGGTGGGTCTTTCCTCTTCAGTTGAACTTCCTGGAGACTTCCTGTGGCTTTCATAGTGCTTCAAGTCCAGTCAAATGCACAATGAAAACCGTCACTCCTGCCAAAGCCTCCGTTTCAATACCTTACATGAAGTTTCTTGGATGATAACCCGCTTCCACCGGACCATACTTAGATGACCATACTCCGTATTCCATGAAGACTGAACATCGCAGGTTTAAATAGACCGACTCGGAGGATTAACAGAATCAGCATGACGTCGGGCTACAGAGCAGTCTGTGGGAAGTAGTTTAGTAAAGAAAATCAATTATTATTAGAGGCTAAAATCACAGCTAGAATCAGACAGAGCCAGGCACTGCTCAGCCCTGGCACTTTTTAGTCGGATGACCTCAGGCAAGGAACTAACTCATTGCCTCAATCATTTCTACCTGAAAAAAAAAAAATGGAGGCATTGATGTATATTTCACATGACTGTTGTGAAGCTTACGAGACTTGCGGAGGATGTAGTTCAGGGTCCAGTTCATTAAAGTTGTCCATCAGATGGCAAGCGACCACTAATGCTGTTGACATTACTGTCAGGTCACTTCCAGTCATCACGAACTGGTGCCTGTTCTTGAGTCTTGGTTGGACACAGCCCTGGATACAGAGGGTCCAAAGAGAAGACATATTTCATTTTCTGAGGGGCTTCACAACCCAGTTCATCCTCTGTCCTTAGCAAGTAACGTGTGCTTCTTTTCTATTTTATCACATGGACGTAAACATTAGGGCTGGCTTCTCTACTATAACTCAGACTTGTTCCTCTGTCATTTTATGCAGGAGAGCCGTCTCTGTCCAGCTCTATCTCCTTCCCTGGGTGCCAGTCTCTGCTTCCCCAGGGGCCAATGAGCCACACAAAGAGCTGAGACACATCAGTGTGTTGGTTAGTGAACACACACAGTGTGGCACACTGGTGTTTATCCTCTGCATTCTGTCACCGGAAGACATTGCTAATTCTGATTCACACTCCTCCGTCCAGACCTCAGAATCCTTCCCATTACCAGCTTCTCTGATGGACTTCACCGGTGAGGTAAAGCTGGCACTCTCTGTAAAAATGTATTTCCATCCACTCCTTCTGTACTTATGCTGATACCCTTTCATTTATGGACAGAGAGGTGGGGCTGAAGGGATTGTGGAATCTGTAAACTTAGGTATAGCCAGACTTTTGGCTGCTTTGTGGGTTCCTCTTTCTTCCACCCTTCTCCAATGCTATTCTTTCTCCCTTTCAATCCCTTAATACTAGTAGGAGAGAAAGAAGGATAGAAGTGGGCAACCATGTCATTAGACTACATCCTGCTGATTAGGGGCATTGGGTTCTTTGGGGCAAGTTTGATCTTTGCTGGCAGAATATCTAATTTCTCTTTCTTCTTTGCCCACAACTACTTAGCAAATGGCAACCAACCACAACCAACCAACAACCCACACCCCTTAGGGGTCTAGTATTTATACACCCTCTGAAAAGTTCCCAGAACTCCAAACATCACACAATAGCAGAAACTATCTTCAGGGGCAAAACTATCTCTGCTAGAGCACAGGGCAAATCATAGTCAGCTGCTGGGGACAATATGAAGCAGCCCCATATCCCACAGCTGGGATTAAAATGAAAACCGATTCTCGTAATATTTCTGTTTTAAAAGAAACCAAAATTCTCACTACACCCTGGCATCCCTACAGCCTCAGCTGAAGAGGTTTCTGAGCTTCCGTGCCCATTAGGCAGCATCCCTGATTCAGAGAGATAGCTGCCCACATTTTGAGTTCTAACTCAGCCTTGCTAACAGTGCTGTGTTACCTTGGGGAAACCCCTTAACCTCTCTGTATTCAGTACTTCTTTGACTACAGTAGATCTGGTCATGGTCTATCTGCATGAAGGGACTTCAGGGACCTTGACGGTCTAAACCTTCTTCCCAAAGTCCAGTGAAGAGTGAAAAAGTCAAATAATTACAGAGATAATGGGAAATATGATAATGAGACCGATCTGTCTTTGTGGCCTTAAACGGGACCTCACTAAAATCATGAGATTCTTTACCTCCTCACACAGGTGTTTGGGGAGAATGAAAAGTCAAGCTTATACTACTCAGGGTTTGTTGATTGCCACACCTGGAAAGTTCTACTTGGTGTCTAATCTGAATCCCACCCCTACTCTGTACTGTCCATCCTTTTCTAGACCTCAAATGTCCTTGAATGAACATGGATGGACCAGGAGTCCCTATCCCATGATTACATACAGGTCTCTTTTCACTGTCACCAATGTCGATACAGAAGTTGGAACACAGCAGGAATTCGTTAATGATGGTTTTAGGTGTATGTCCCATGTCTGATAGCTAACTACACAAGTATCCGTGTCATGTTAGCTTAGAGGCAGGGACGCATA